AGCAGGAACAATTGAGAGTGTAGAGGGGAGTTGGGGGGGAACACAATAGTTGCTATAGCATTCCCAAATTAGGAGGGAGGAAAATAGGAGTGATGAAGTATGCTATATTATAGGTTGTTGTTGTTTTTTTTATTTTTATCTTCCTTTAATTCCTTATTTAATGTATCATAAAAGAACCTCGCATTCAGTGCTAGCTATAGTATTAAGAAAACTCCTCCACCACAGGCTAAGAGAAAACTCGTACTCTCAAGACCCTCTAACATGGGCCCAACTATACACACTCCAAAAGCAATCTACCTTGGAGCCCAGTCCATAGATCTCGCAACATAAATGCAAAAGTGTCTTTCCTGGAAGCCAACTATATGTCCAAGAAGATTCCTCACCTGCAATACCTTATCCCACTAAATGCACATAGCCAACTAAAAGAAAAACAAACAAGCTAGGCAGGAAGGTATAAGGAAAAGATCTAGCCATAAACTACCAAAAACTTACAAAAGAAAGTAACTACTGCCTACCAAACTACTAGGTTACTGGTTATAAAGAACTGCCCCCAAAATGGGCAGCTGGCGAGGTGCCCAAAGGCCAGACTTCCGCAACCAGCTGCATGGAGGATGTAGTACAATACCGTAACTTACCAATCAAGAAAATTGGCCTCAGTACCAGGCCCAAGGGGTGGAGGTTTGGTAGAGGGGATAATACTCAGTAGTAGGGTACCAGACAAAGATCAACTGCGGTCAGGGAGCAGGCTTGAGCCCTAGAACATCACTCAGAGGAGGCAGGAGGTAGTAGAGTACCTGCGAGAGAGTATGGAGAACGTAGGGTACGAGCTGACACAATCAATGTCGGAGGCGGAGGGAGGGCCAAGTGCCTCAAAGCCAACTCTGCTATAGAAACCGAAGTAGTGCTTTTTCACCACCTCTCTCCTCTAATCTCTTAGTCTGGGAGAGATAGCATTACTTAGTAGATGGGATCACACCAGCTGTAGAGTTTCAGAGCGGCAAGGTGAGGCAGACGACTATAACTTGAACAAAGCAACTAAGAGGGTATGGTCGAATCTTACCGCAAGAGAGACGACGAAGTTACTAACCAAGGTATTCCCCTATGGGAATTGTGCAAGTAGGGAGAAAGATATCTGCCTCTTGCAGTATTGACCAGAAACAAAGAGAGGAAGCCAACAATACCTCAGCTAATGGAGCACTCCAAGCAAGACAAGATTCTTAGATGAGGTCCAGAAAACTCCCCCATCAAGTGAACTAGAAGAAAAGGCTGGTAAGGGTAGGAGAAGCTATTGAAGAGAAACTGTACTCCTAGGCAGGAACCATTAAGGGGGCAGATGGGAGGGTGAATGGCCTACAATAATTGACTAGGACGTTCTCAAACTCTGTGGGACAATAATAGGAGTGACGAAATGTGCTGTATCAGAGGTCCTTTTTTTTTTTTTTTTTTTATAATCATGTATTCATTGTTTAGGTACAAGAACTTGCATGCAGTAGTAGCTATGGCATAAACAAAACATTAATCCCAAAGTAAACAAAAAGAAATGAAACCAAACTATTGCCTCCAATAAGTGCGAACAACCTATATTGCAAAGCGCATAAACAGCTAACTATAAAGGGAAACATTCAAACTAAACATAAAGAAATCCTACAAGTAAGGAAACCAAAAGAGTAAGCTTTCACCAACTGCCTAGGCTAACGGTGAGGAAACAAGTGAGGAAATGGGGCTCCCAACTGGTCGGGCCACGGAGGAGGGGTACATAAGAGCAGGCATGTCTGGGGGGAATCCAACCGAGGTTGCGGCTATGTAGGCCGATAGGCCGTGTAGCAGTTCCAGCGATGTCCAGATCGGTTCCCCTTCATCAAGGCACTCGACTCCCGGGAGGTGGGTGTCTCTGACCCTTTTATGCGAGGGGCATTCAAGAATGGCGTGGTGGAAGGACGCAGGTTCCCCCTTACAGTAGGGGCACGTGTCGAGGGCATCTGGATCTCTCCATGAGCTGTGGCCTGCTAGGTAGCTCTTTCCTGTACTCATCTGGTGGATCCTGCCTGCTATGAATTTCCCCAAGCCCATGCAGGGGTGAGGCGATAGAGTGGGCGAGTAGACGTATGGGGGAGGAGGTGGGTATTGTTTGGTCCAAGTGTTTAGGAGGAACTGACGACACCCTCTCTTGAGGGCTGGAAAAGGAGGGTTGCTAGGAGCTGCAGGGGATAAGGGCTCAGGGAGGAGGGCAGGCGATGCTGGTAGGACCCGAGAAAGATGACCGACAAGCTTGCCTACATGGTGGGCTATTGCGTCAAGTGGGAGAGGCCTCCGTACCAGAGGGGAAGGTTCGGGGGTTTTCCAATTCAGGGGCCTGTAGCCTGGCGTAAGCACCACCGTCAAGGTACGGTGGTCCTCTGGGGAGCGGTAGCAAGAGGTTGTAGGGAAGGAGCAGTGCAGCCATGCAGCTGCCGGGTTTCTTTCCGGGGGGAGGTACACCATCCTCAGCGCCGCCAGGCACTGTCAGTGTTCAATGAGGTATTGTATCGGAGGAAGGGCCAACTCGTAGGGGAGGATACCGGTAGGAGTTTCGGAGAAGCAGTTGGTGACCCAATGTTGAACCTGCCTCCAAAAGACAGCAAGCCTATCGGTCATTGTCGAAGGGCGCGAGCCCCTTCCCAGGACCTGATAGCCTCTTAAGCATGGAGAAGGCACCCTGGGCAAGTGCCAAACGTTTCGAGAAGTGGGTGCTGGTAGCACACCGGAGAGAACAAGAGGCCGGCTTAAACCATTGGCCGAGCCAACGGACCACCCCAGAGGGGTGAAACAGGAGTACATCAATAACGATTGGGATAGTGGATGTGAGGTCTCTTTGTCTGGGCGTCCTCCAATGTATGAGTTTAGTTTTGGGTACTGTATCAGAGGTCCCTGAATACTGCTGTTTATACAGACCTCTTACTAAACCCTAACCCTTCCAAACTCATACTTTCATGTCATTATATCCTATGATTTACAATTGTAAGTCATATCAGATTCTCAACTGACCGATATGAGTCAATAGCGCAACATCCCTAAACTAATCACAAACCTCATAATAAGTCATTTGTGCTATGTACATCACATCAATGAGACCAGTGACTGATTAGTTTAATTCATACATGAAAGTCAAAACAACCTATAACTTACAACTGTGAGTTATTGTATAACTATAAACACCAATGACTTACAAGCATTAGTCCTATTAAAACCTTTATTTCTCCATATCAATCTGCCTTGTCATAATCCGATTTGTCACAAAAACAACCAGTTCTTAAGACAAATATATTTTGAGAGCATCAGATCATACTCTCTAGTTACAACAAGTATTGTATTTATTGAGATTAATTTTTTTGTATTGGTAGTGTGGTTCTGTTTTTGCATATCAGCATCTATATTTCCCAATCAATTTAGTTCTCTATCTTTTCAAATAGTTTTTTGCTTGTATTGAATTTTATTGGCTCCAAGGCTAACTCAATCTTCGAGCTGGTGAACTTTAATAATTGTTTATACAATTTCACCCAGCCTTCTAACACTCACAAGTCTCATAGCTATACCACTTTGAAGTCACGCCACGAACTATAATGACTCTGCTCCTGGTCTCTGGATGACCAGTAAGCGCTGGAGGTAAGAAAAATCTTTTAATTATGTTAAGATATTATTAATAGTATTTGATAAAGATTGAATTATCAATACTGGCTGGGAGCCAGTTAGGAATAATTGTAATAAATAAAGTGGTAACCAGAAAGTAGTTCAGATGTAACATAGTAGGTATGGGATTTGAAAATCCTGTTCTGGAATAACCTATATATACAACTGTAGTTACAGGTCAAACTATGGTGAGGAAGGGTTAAAGAGAGTCAAAATATAGAACTTAAAGTAAGAAATAATATGATATCAGAATAGAAGGGTAACTTTGATTATGTTGAAATGTTGTGGGAGAAAAATAAGTATTGTCCTAATATAATAAAGTAAGTGAAAGGACTTGAGGTTGTAGTTAACAAACTTAAAGACTCCCTAAAATCAGAAGTTGCCAGGATGTAAAGGACTAGGATCAGATAGTATCAGAACATAATAGTAGTAGATCTAGTATGTTAGTATATATAGGATGTAGGTTAGTATTAGGATATTGTCAGGATGCAACATATTGCTTAAACTAAAATCAGGTCATAATATTAGCATGATATTGTATTTGTGGTTAACAGTTAGTGTTTGGAACATCCAGTATGTCAGATGCACAGGATGTACAAGATGAAGGTGATAGTTTTTACTGATATATTATGATTTTGTTTCTTGATTCTCATAAATAGACATTTTGAACCTTTCCTTTTATGGACTATATATAATATTTTACCTATCTTGCTATTTTCTATTCATCTGTCCACCCACTTTAAATGACAATGTTATATCAATCTCTCAAGATATATTAATCTACCAGTTTTACACTACTTCGAGCTGTGAAGTGATTGAGAGTTATTAAGTTTCTTTAAACTTCGATAGTCACAGTGCATTAAGCTATAAAAGATTGTAGAGCCCACGATATTAGGCCACAACAAAAACTTATGTTGAGCTACGACAAAATTAATTGTATTGGACTACATAAAGTTGGGATGAGCCACAAGTTACATCTTGAGCTGCACAGTCATATTGAGCTGGCGAGCACCCTGGAAGAGTGCCCCACGTTGCAAGCGAGCGAGCAGCCAGGGGTTGTGGTCGCTAACCACAACGACCGTACTCGTACTCGAGTGTCGAGGTCTAGACATGGGGGTCATCCGTTTTTGGATTACGTAACCAGACACCGTGTTCTCACATAGAAGTGAGCCTCCCGTTCACGGAGCCTCTACTCATGAGCCCTTGTAATCAGTGATCTCCCAACCAACTTTGTTTATGCTGCTTTTTTCCCCCACGATCGGATCCTCCTCTCCCCCACTCCGATACCTGGTTTCCTAATCCTGGATTTTTGATTTTCCCATCAAAGCTTCACAATGCGGCTCGCTGTCTACGGCGCTGTGAGTTTCCCCACCATACTTTGACGACTCACTTTTAGTTAATTGTATTCGCGCAGACCAGTGCCGTTCTCGGCGCTGGAGTAATCCTTAGCGCCTTCAACCATCGTGCAAACTTCTACTCTGCTTGCGTTCACTTGGGACAATCCAATGCCTGCCTCATGGTTTTGACAAATCTTTTGCTACTATTATCTATTCTCTTCGGTCATGGTCTACAGCTTGTCTTTTACGGACCTTTACGTGCTCCGGAGATTGAACGACTTTACGAAAAGGCGTGGTATGCTGTTACGGAAACATGTTTGGCCATGACGATCTTCCGGGATGAATTCGATGTACGATTTATCGTGATGTTTGGGGTTCTGCTTTTTATCAAGTGCTTCAGTTGGATTGGGGGCGGTCGGGTTGAATTCGTTAGTCCCCCATAATTCCACTTGAAGACTTAGCTGACACAGCCAGATGGAAACCCAACCCCCGGCAAACCCTACGCTGTTCCATATACGCTTGTCTTCCTCACTCATCCTTCTACTTTCGGCTTGTGGGGCGATGCTCTGGCATTCTGTCCTTTCGGTATTGGAGCGGGGCCGTCCCAACATGATGGTTATGTTTGCTTTCGAATTTGCGATTTTGTTGATTACCTCGTTGGGCATTGCTGGAAGATATGTCTTGAATGTGGTGGAAAAAATTATCCTTAAGCGTGAAGCGACTCGGAGAAGGGAAGCGAGAGCGGCTGAACGAGAGGCGATCCACAATCGACGTGCCGAACGGAGGGGAGAGAACCAGCGGAGGCGAGACTCAGGCGAAATTGTTGAAGATGAGCCCGGGCCTGAGGATAATGAGGAGGATGAGGAGGAGATTGATGTCGGCGGATGGGAGGAAAAGGGCACTTGGGTCTTTTATCTGGAGTTGACCACAGGTTCGCCCCACTTCCCTGGGGAAGGAAGTGCTGCTAATCGCTCCAGACCTATTGAAACTCGCTACCTACCTGTGCTTCTTCGCCATCGTTCTCACCTGGTATGGTTTGCCCCTACACATCATCCGAGACGTCTACCTCACGCTTCGATCCTTTATCACTCGTATCCGGGATTTTATTCGGTACCGCAGGGCGACAGCGCATATGAATTCACGATACCCAGATGCTAGTTCTGAGGAAGTGGAGCGGGAGGGCGTTTGTATTATCTGCAGGGAAGAGATGCGCGCTTGGATGGCAGGGGCAGAGAATGAGGGAGGGAGAGCTGCTGGGACTCAAGATCAGCGGTCTAGGCCCAAACGGCTTCCCTGTGGCCATGTGCTACACTTCTCTTGCTTGCGTAGTTGGTTGGAGAGGCAGCAACGGTGCCCCACATGTCGTCGGCCAGTTCTCGACGAGCCTACTCCCAACGGTCCTGGCGGTAATAATGCGGCGAACGCTGCTCCTCCAGGACCGCCTGGGATTAACTTTCAGGCTGGGGGAGATGGATTAGGTTTCAGAGCGGAGATCGCATTTGGGGTAGGCGGACCCGGCCTTGTGCAAAACTTAATGGACGGGATGAATGCACCACCGGTTCCACAGGCGAATCGAAATGTCCATCGACCTCAAGAACCAAATGGCGATATTGCACGTGCAATGTTAGGCGCCACTGGGAATATGCGGGCAGATATTGACCATCATATAGCGAGAACTCGACAACTCCTTGATCGCGAATTAGCTATGATCGATATTACGCAGAGGCAGCTCAGGCAATTGCAAGAGTTGCAGATACATGCTCAGGCCGCTGCGGGAGGTGCCCAGGCAGCCTTGGATGCTACCGCTAGACCCGTGGATCCTGCTATCCCATCTCAACCGGAAGCTAGAGCGCAAAACACTCCGAACCCATCAGCGAATATTGGGGCTCATGGGGACCGTCTTTCCACTACTAGTAACCAGAGCGCCGTCAACTCTACCCTCCCCATGGCTAGTCCTCCAGTCCATAGTGACATTCAATCCAATCCCACTACTCTCTCAGGGAATCCTCTACTACCCTCTGGCATGACAGTTCCACCCGGATGGACTGTCGTTCCTTTGGCTGTTCCGGGAGCTGATCCGCCTCCTAGCATGCCCAACACCACCACAAACGGTGGGGGCGTCCCCCTTCTCCGACGACGTGAGCAGCGGACGTATCAGGAGTGGATGAGAGCCTACCATGCCCGTATGACACCGTTAGCTGAAAGCACAGAGCGCGAGGGGGAACTGAGACCAGTTCGTCCGCCGATCAGTAGGGCCATGCCTACCCCTAGCGACCTCATCATACCCCCAAACAATGCGCCCAGCACATTCTCCGTTCCTACCATCCCTGATGATATATCTGCCCGTCTCACAAGAACACAAATAGCGAACCTAAGGCCTAGGGTTCGCGAGAGCGTTGCAGTTATTAGCCATTTTGTTCAATATCATGTGGATGCGGATAGACTTGGTCTCGCATTGGAGATACTCTATGGTTTGCCAGAACAATTTAGGCAGGATATACTTGATGGGTGGCCAGATCGGGAAATGGCACATGTTCTAAGTGCTGGTGGGGAAACCTTGCCTCCTCCCGCCTCTGGACGATTCAATCTCGCCGCCTATCACGTCTCAGTCCTCGCCATGCAGTTTTCATTTGAGAGCAGGATCCTCCTACTCCTCGGCATCCCGAAGACTCCCTTCAGAGACTGCCTCGTCCGCTACTTTCAAGACCCCCAAATCAACAGCGAGCTCGAGAAACTGGATATTGCAATATCTGACTTGGACCGACCACTTCCAAATGTATCGTCACTACTCGAGAGCATATCAGACTGGACAGAAATCCCCAGTCTTTCCGGGAGTAGTGACAAAGATGCGACTGAAAAGGCTGAGAAGGAAACTAGAGATATCGCCAATAAGCGGATCCAGGTGCTCAACGATATCAGCCGCGCTATGCGTACTGCCGCGAACAGGTTGGAGCAAGCTCATCGGCCGTCGTCAGCACACATCGTCGGCCGGTTCAATCCCAATAATGAGCTGTCATTATTCGGCCAGCGCAGCATTTTTGACTCATCAGCACAATCCCATGTCCTGGATTCGTTCGAAAAGGACATTATTGCGGAGGAGCAGTTATGGTTGGAAAAACAACATGCGGTAGAGGGACTGTTGTCGACCATTGGCGAATCCTCGAATGTAGGGTTAGAGAAGGGCAAAGGAAGGGCCACAGTTGAGGACGGGGAGGAGTAGGTTGGAGCTGTGTACCATAGCTTTTTTTTCTTTCTGTTACCATTTATTGAGATTACAGCCCTCCTTCCCTGCTTTTCTTGTTTTAACCTGTTTACCCCCTTTTTCGATCAGCTGAGTTTCGGTGGAGTGGCTGGCGACGTATCTTTTTATGATTTGATTCCTTTTTAAAATTTGTTTCCGTGTGGGCTGGGTGGCAAATTCTGGGGGATTGCGTCAGCCGCTGTTCCATTGTTGTAAGGAGGGATTGCACTTTTTTCAACATGCGAGTGATTGACTGTGAGGCTGGAGAGGTTTGTGTCTCGTCTTCCATTCTCCAAACGAGCACAGGGATAGGAAATCATATTCCTTGTGATCAGAGCTCTACTCTGAACCCATAGAACTCGTAAGATTAGGGCGAAGCCCTATTAATGCCAATTGGATTTTGAACATGTCTGGTTTTGTGTTGAAAATACGGTAAGATTGTTTGCTATCCGGGTTTCCAGAAAGACTGGCCGTTACTTAAGGTTGGACTAGTGACTAGTAAATCCAATATGGATGTACTACACGGCGAAGAGGCGGGGAACGACCAAAGTGTTCCATAATAGGGAATAAACATAATGAACATGATCATATTGATTGCGATATGATACGAGTCAACTTCAATTTAAGATTCCATTTCCATTTTTCAAACTTTCAAATATAGCCAGATTAAGGGTAAAGTGTTCATTTTATGTCCTGCACCTTACAAGAACTCCTGCTCAGAACAGCTAAGTAGCTCCGCGTCGATTAAAACCTATTGACGTTACAAAGAGAGGTAAAAAGTAATATGTTGATAAAGCCTAGTGGAAGAGTCTGGTATGTGAAATAAGTTGAGAACACACTGAAGCTGAAACTAAGCAGTTATTTTTATTTTTATTTTTTTTATAATTATTTAGTTACTTGTGTAAGGTATAAGAACATCGTATGCAGCACTAGCTATGGCGTTAAGAAAACCCCTCCACCCTGGACTAAGAGAAAACCCGTACCTCCAAGACCCTCTGGTATGGGCCCAACCGTACACACTGCAAGGGCAATCAACTCAGGTGCCCAGCCCGCAGGCCTCACGACTTGAACGTGAAAGGGTCTCGCCTACAAGCCAACAAAAGGCCCAAGCAGATTCCTCGCCCGAAAGAAAACCCTACCCACTAACTACACGTAGCCAACAGGAAGGAAACCAAACAGGATAGGCAGGAAAGCATAAGGAAAAACTCCATCCCGTAAACTACAAGACCCATAGGGCCACAAAAAAAACAACCACTACCCACCATACCACCAAATTTGCCATTTTTAAAGAACTGCCCCCAACCAGCTCAGCCACAGAAGTAGTGCAATACCATGGCCCGCCAATCAAGAACAGAGGCCACGGTGCCAGGCCTAAGAAATGGATGATTGGCAGAGGGGATGCTGCCCAGCAGTAGAGTGTCAGCCAAAGATCGACCAAGGGCAGGCAGCAGGCTGAAACCCAGGAACACCACGCGGCAGAGGGAGCAGGTAGTAGGGTACCAGCCAAGGAGGGAAGGCAGTAGGGTGCGAGCCGATGCAACCGAAGTGGAAAGTGGAGGTAGGGCCAAAGGCCCCAGTGCAAACCCAACCATAGACCCAACTGACGTATTACCGCGTCTCATATGTAGTCCCTTGTTCTCCTCAAGATAGCGTCACTTAGTGGAAGGGATCCTACCAGCAGTAGGGAGGCAGAAGGGTGAGGTGAGGAAGGCAACCGAAACTTGAACTGTGCGACTAGGAGGGTATGGTCAGATCTCACCGCGAGACAGACCCCGAAGTTACTAGCCTAGCTGAGGCGTTACCCAACGGGGATCGTGCAAGTGGGGAGAAGAACATCCACCACTGCCAGTGCTACCAGCAAGCGAAGAGAGGAAGTCCACCACGCTAAAGCTAAGCGAGCCCCTATTAGCAAGACAGGACTACTGGGCGAGCCTAGATAACTCTCCTATTAAGCAGACAAGAGACAAGCGAGGCCAAAGCCGGAGAGGATGGAGGAGTTAACCGTGCCCCTAGGCAGGAACCATTGAGGGGGTAGAGGGGAGTGGGGGGGCCCATGATAGTTGACCTGGTGTTGCCAAACTATGTGGGAGGAAAATAGGAGCGACGGAGCGTGTGAAACTAAGCAGTTAATTGATATATATATTTATATCTCGCCTTTTTATTATTCCGGTTCACAAACTACTAAAGGCACACACCGGTTGCGTCAGAGCATGCCATGTAGACCCAAAGTGTCCCCCCGAGGAGGTCCCAGCTGCTAGAAGAAAAACAATCCTACTAAAGGAAGTGGGTGGAAAAAACAACCAGGAGGAGCATCTTGCAGTATATGCAACCAGATATAATGGGAGGTGCCTACAGGAAGATGGGTCCTGAGGTTGTAACTGATAGTAATTCATAATACAAAATGGTTTCATGGAGGAAAAGTGTAGATTTGTGTTCTATTCCAATTGCATAACACTGCCACGAGATTAGAGTCAACTCCACATATACAGCTATTCTGTACCTTGTGTGGGATCATGTGTCCTAACCCTGTCCTTCCATATGACTTTGTTTTCTGTCTTATCCTAGTTTCCCACACTACTGGTATTCCACTGGTATGATATGACAATCACATCTTCTGTACTATATCTTCTTTATTCTATTACTCCTGCTGAGATCGTAGTACTGTAATCAAATCCAGCATATCTACAAACTTTCCATGTTTTGTCATATTCAATGCTTTAGTCAGTTCATCAACCACCATTTCATAAGCATATAATTCTATATGATATCCTGTATCATCATACCTGTGGTGGATTTCATAGTTTCAAAATGTCCAGCAAGATATGCATCCATATTAATGTTCTGTCCTTTTGTCTAGACCTTATCTCCTAGTCTCAAATACCTTTCCTTGCTTCCCTGAATGTAATGTAAAACTCTACTTGCTGCTATCAAATATTTCATACTAGTATTTTTAGAAAACTTACTAAGATATCCAGCTACAGAGGTAAGATCTAGATAGCTTGTAATTGATTCATAAATAATACTTGGAATTACTTTCTGGTTCAAGGTTTCATCACATAATTCCTTCCTTACTTTTGTCTATATTAGTTCCAGGTTGTATTTCATTGGAGTTCTGCCTCAATTGTAATCAGATATTTGAAATTTGTCCAATACCTCTTTAGCTTCTTAGCCTATTAATAGGATTCTTGCTTCTCATATCTGTCTGATCTCTAAATTCAAGAAATATTCTATGTTGAACTTCTTCAACCGAAACCTGCTACCTATAGCTTTTTCGTGAGTGGTATATTAGTCTATATTTCTGATCAGTTATATGTTATCAACCCAGACTATTATGATTTTCCTGCTAGACTCCATGTACAGTCCTGCCTCAATCACGGATCTTGCAAGCTTAATGACATAAGCAATAAATATATCAAGTATCTTATATCAACCAAGATTAGATTGCTTTAAACTATAGAGACTGTATTTAGGTCTAACAATAGCATTGTTTTTGTTGTAATATTAGGGCCTGCAGTAACAATAATCTTAGTATTTTGTAGAACAACCTTTGCAGGATTGTTGGTATACAATATCAGCTTACAGGAAAGATATAGATATATTTATTCTACAATTGAGCTATTTAGGAATGCTGTTATAATATACATTTGCTTGATGGCCAAGTTTTGTAGAGCTACAAATGAGAGAACTATTCTGATTGTTCTCCCGCTAACAGTGAGCATATAATGATTATGAAAATTTATTTCTGGGCCTTGTGGCAATCTATATGCTATCAGACAGGTTTCATGACATGTAAGTTCTCTATTTTACTCAATGTTCTCTGGTAATAGCATCCTGTCAGAGATAGCATTCGGCATTGTATTCTGACTATCACTAGAAACTACTCCATATGTGCTATGACTATCTAAAGAGTCTAATAATTTCCTGAATAGCACTGTATTAGACATGGGCATCCGGACCATAGAGGACTTCCTTGGTAGAATGTAGTACAATAGTTAACATCTTTCTCAAATCTTTCCTAGAATCTGATTCTTGGTCTGTCTATTAAGCTGAGAATGGATCACCAGACCAATCATGAAATCAGTAGTAAAGAAATCTCCTCCTTTCTTGTATTGATAGGATGTAACATGGACCATATAGAATATAAGACTGAGAGTTCTTATAATATTCTTGGTTGTTTTGGAATAATTGGAATCTCAAGACTTCTAATATTATCCTTATTTTGTGCCTGTCTCTTCTCAATACCATTTACTTTCTCTCTTTCAATTGGCTGATCTTGTAGTACCTAGTAAATCCAATAACTATTAGTACTAGAATACTAGGCAGTGCTTGTAAAACACTGAATATTATGTGTTGTAACAATCTTACAGCTGATGAATTCTATAAACAATATTGTTTTAATGTTATGAATACCACATAATAATCATACACTTAGCTAGTATGTCTCTTTTCTTTAAACCATATTTATATAAGCAAAAGCAGTACATACCTAGATGCGCAGTACTATCTCATCCTCAATTATTGTGTTACAAGATCCTGCCTTATTTTGTACCAAGCATTTGTACTAGGCAGGATTCAAGTTCTTTACATACTCCCAGTTAAGGGTTGGGAAACTGTGTGCTGCTGTTTTCGCCATCCTATCCTTCCACAACAATGTTTTGGTCATTCCTTGTTTTGTTTATAACTGTGACATTATAGTACTTGAAGTTTACACTTCTTCCAACTTGATTACTTCCTCACATTTGAAATTCAGGATTCTAAACCTCTTTTCAATCTGGACTACATCCTCCCTTTGCTGCTAGGTCTCTAGTTATCACAAATATGGCTTAGTGAGGAAAGAGTTTTCACATGACACATAGTTGTGAGTCATAGGTATGTTAAAGCTTTAATGCATATGACTCATTCAAGTCAGATGACTTGTTTATGTTATGAGTTGTTATGTTTTGCACATAATTTAATTATAAGTGATGGGATATAATCCTGGTGAGTGTGCCTTGCAGGTATGCCTTGCAGTTAGGACATGTTAAGAGGTCATGGGTCTCAAACTACGTGACTACTT